TCGAACTTGTAACAGTTCGATTCTGTCCGCGTTCTGTTCTGGTACGTGTGCGAAAAAAGGACTGTTCTGAATTGAATCAGTTCGATTTTAGGTCTGTTCGAATTTGAAAACGTTCGAATTCGTCGTACCCCCATGTTCTGGAAACTACCGTAGCTTAAAGGTGCTTGATTAAATTGTTAATTGGGTCTCGCAACGATTAGTTTTCTACAGTACTCTCCTTATTTTTCGCGAAATTAAGCAACGATTTTTTTCAATTTTCAGCTTGGAATTTTCAGCTATTTCAGCCTAAAACTCTTTTTTTTTTCTAGTTCATTCCGAAATTTTTAAAGATTAAATTCAAAAAATTCAACAAAAATACATTCATCAATCTCTTATCGATTCAAAAAATCTAGTCTGACAACTGCGAACGCAATGATGGATGCTTTCGGGTTAATCCGACCATATAATCATATAAACGGTGGGTTCTCCATGGAATTCGTTCATCCCGAAGTAGGGAGAGCAGAATATCTAATGACGCAACTCATTCCTCGCAATAAATAATGGATCCCCGCAGAGAGAAGACATGCCTTCGCTCAAATTGTTTTCCGGGTTAAATATCTTTCTCACTATTGATAACATAATAATTTACTCCATTGAAAGATGAATGAATACGGTACCATAATACGAGAGAGGTGAAAAGAGAAAAGAAAGCAAAAAAACAGTGTTCGGATAAGAAAAGAAGCGAATTGAGGAAGGAAAAAAAACTTTGAATTTCAAACGAATGAAGAAGGTTGGGGAGGGGAGATTTGTCTGGGGTGTGGTGCGGTGAAGCAAAAATCACAAAAGGAGTATAACTGTTCAACAAGAGAAAGGGAGAAACTTGTGGTGTAGTAGCAATATTACCATCACCTTCACATGTTCACACTTCTTCTCGCGACACTGTTTCTGGGAAGTATTGAGTGGGATGGGGAACAGAGGGCGGAGCTAGGGGGTACAATGAATAAGTTACATATTATTCCCGTCAGATGCGGTTCCAAATGTAATCGGATAAGAAAAAAACGGTCGATCTTTTTTGGAGAGAAAAGAAACGAAACGAATGGGTGGGGAAAGTAGAAGAAAGTGGTGGTGGTGATCAAATTAAAAAGCCTAATAGGAAAGATAAAGAGAGAGAGAGAGACAGAGAGAGAGAGAGAGAGAGAGAGAAAAGGAAGAACAAAGAAAACGAAGAGAGTGAATAGTATGAGAAGAAAGAGACGATAAACTATTGAAAAAAGAAAATATTGCTGTTTATTCGTCAAAACCATGAGTGATTTAAGATCGATTCTTGAGCTGGTTGCTGAGCCAATCGAGTCCTTCATACAGACCGTCTCCGGATGTTGCGCATGTGGCCTGGAAAAAATTATTTTGAATAATATATTTAAACCTTAATTAACTTCTCAAGAAGCTTAAAATGCTGAAAATATAGATTACCTGAATGTACCATGACCGGTTTCTGAGCGAGTGGAGTCCAAGTTTATCGGTGACTTCGGCGGCGTTCATGGCTTGTGGAAGATCTTGCTTGTTGGCGAAGACCAAGAGAACGGCATCACGAAGCTCATCCTCAGCTAGCATGCGCATCAACTCCTCGCGAGCTTCTCCGACACGCTCACGATCGTTCGAGTCGACGACGAAGATGAGTCCTTGTGTGTTTTGGAAATAATGCCTCCAGAGTGGACGGATCTTGTCCTGACCTCCGACATCCCAGACGGTGAATGAGATGTTCTTGTACTCAACAGTCTCCACATTGAATCCTGAAATTGAAAGAATGAATCAGTTGAAGAATTTCGCAAGAATAGTGACTCACCGATAGTTGGAATTGTGGTAACAATCTCTCCGAGCTTGAGCTTGTAGAGGATAGTCGTCTTACCGGCAGCATCCAATCCGACCATCAGGATGCGCATCTCTTTCTTGCCGAAAAGGCCTTTAAACAAGCTGCCGAACACGTTTCCCATTCTGAAAAATACAGGTGATATTGTGCTTTTTTCTAGATGTTTTGTTATATACATCCGGTTAGGGACCAGTGAAGCGGAGAAGGGGCAAACAAAAATGTAGAAACTGAATCAATAATCCTCGTGGAAATGAGGCCAAAACGTGAAAAGCCGCCAATGCGCGCTACCGGGTGAAAAGTACGTCGTCGTCGATGGACGACGACTACGGCGAAAAAAGGAAAAAAGAAAATATATCGAGAGGAGAACGTGGAAATGAGATGGATATCTAACAGGCGCTGGGAGCGAGAATCTCCACCAGAGAAGCAGTGGCTGGCTACACCGACAGACGTGTCACCAACGCAGCAGTCTCTCGCTCTGCTTTTCTCTTGTTCGTTGAGCGCGGCGCGTGCGTTGCGGAGCGGTCGAAAGAGTGGAGAAGGGAGAAGAAGAAGAAGAGAAGAAGCAGAGACAGGATGAGGAGAAGAGAAAAAGAGAGAAAGAACAGAAAGGACAAGAGACCGTCAGTATTATGTGTCCGCTCTAGTGCAGGAACACACACAGAGAACGGATTGGAGTGTTGAAATGAAGTACATTAGTTGCCACGTCATCTGCACTTCCAATCAATCAGAAACTTAGGGGTGATAGAATAGAAGAACTGCCGCTTGAGACGAAAGAAACTTTTTTGATAAGAGAGAAAATTTAACCTTCAGGTCAACTGATGTATTTTGTTCTGACTCGAACTTTTCGGAATCTTTTCAGTTTTAGGAGCAGAAATGGTGCAAAAAGAAGAGACTAGCTGAAAAAGGTAGTGGATAGAGAAGAACTGTTTCAAATTTTGAATGGGAACGTGGCATATAATGTGGCGCGCGTTCTGCTGGCTGCAGCCGTCAGCCGGCTAGAAAAAAAGCAGCAGAGAACCGGCCGCGGGAAAAGTTGCGTCAAAGTTTCAGAAGTTCAAAGGGCAATACAAGATAAAAGTGGAGACGATTCGAACGTCATCATAATCGAACAACAAATATAAAAAGTGAAAAAAAAACAACACGGATAAAAAATAAATCTTTTATTGGTTTTGGCAATTTACGGCTAGAAAAATAAACCCGTTTTCGTGATTGTTTTAAAACCTGTATTTTAATAAATATATGAGATTCTCGTAATTATTACTCGGGCTCTTTTTGACCTGTTTTTAATGCTGTTGATATGCTTTTTAATGGCCCGTTTTCTGTTTTTTTTTCTGAGATTTACAGCCAATCTTTTTCACTTTATTTTCTCATTTGGTGGAGTCATTTTGCTCTCTTTTCGATTTTTTTTCTGGCTTTCGCATAATTATGAAAAAAGAAATAATAAAATAATGAAACGGAACAAATGGGAAAAAAATAACAAACTTCTTACACAGCCAACTCTCGAAATTTCAGACCTACGAGTTGAGTGTTTAAGAAGATAGTTTACAACAAAAAAGAGAAATTACAAAGATAGAACGCCAAAAGGGCGATACAGATAAATTTGAAAAGACAAGAAAGAGATAAGAACAAAGATGATAAATTGAAAGTACAGTAGAAATAGGGCAATAACAATTATTGTTTGAGGTAATCTTGAAGTTTTGCGGAGTACTTACCAGATATTAAAAACCAATTTTTTAAAACCAACGAGTCAGATCACCAAGAGACTAAATTGAGATCGATTAAACTGAAACTATTCTAGTCATTTAGAAGATCATCGTCCTCGTCCGACTGAAAAATAAACAATTGTTAAGAAGTTATAGAAAGACTCATTATTACCTCAAGACTGCTCGGGATGGCTGCGAGCAACTGGTCAGCCGACATGTTTGTATCTGTTGAAGGGATTTCCTCGATCTTCTCGGTCTTTAACTCCATATCCAGCGATACTCCATTGAGCACTTTTCCTTCTTCCATCACCTAAATATATCAATTATTTCGATAATTGACAAAATTGCTAACCGTCAGGGCATCAGCAGTCTTTCTAAATGGAAAGACGGCAGTCATAAGACCATCATCTTCGGCTTTCACACTATGATCAAAAACTTCTCCGAATTTTTCCATATGAGCCATTAAGTCGGTAACCAATTCTTCCTACAAAAATTTATTTGATATTTCCTGATTCTTGCCGATCTAACTATACCTTTACGTGTTTGACGACGACGATGCTATTCAACTTGTTCTGCGGTTCCTCCCCATCGCTTGCTGCTTTTCTTTTCCTGCTCGGGTCTTCAAACTTGTTCGGACTTTTCAAAGATTCGATTTGGGCAACTATTTCATCCACGAGCATTGACTTTTCAGAAATTTTCAAAAGAATCGAATCTATTTCTTCTTTGCACGCTTTGACTTTCTTATGCAGATGCTTGACCAACTTAGTAGCGTTTTTTCTTTCAGCCTCATCAGGAGACGTTCTTGCTTTGATAAGTAGCTCTTTCTGTCTGGCCAACCATTTATCAAGAATCACGTTGTGTTGATTCTGAGCTTCTACAAGTGCCGATAACAAGCTCTTCTCGTTTGTCAATTTCTCCTTAGCCTCTTGAAGCTGTTTCCTGTGATTGAGAGCTGCTACGTTGACAAATTTCGATTCTTGCACGGTTGCAATTTTAGGCCGTTCCGTTGGTTTCGGTGGTGATGTTGGAGCATTCGATTTGGCTGCTGCAGCGTCGATTCCTTCACCTCCTGGGTTGTGCCAAAACACTTTAATGAACCGGTTGTTGAGAACGGGAGCTGGTGACTTGTATGCCTTGTAAGCGTCATGCTTAGATGCGTATGTTACGAGCGCTGCATCAATTTCCCCGTTGTATCGAACTTGTATGTTGTCAACTACTCCAAAGGTAGCAAAATGTTCGTTCAGCTTAGCGATGTTATTCATTTCAGCTGGAATCTTCGCCACTTGTAAAGTGCAGTTTTCTCTGTTGATATTGCCAGCGAAACCTCCACGAGTAAAACTTCCCCGACCTCTCGGAGCACCTCTTCCACGAATTCCTCCACGGAAAGACCCTGGTTGTTGCGGAACAATAGGTACAGCACCGCCGGTTGAAGGTGGTGGTTGCGAAAAGTTTGTCACCGGTTGTGGTACGTATTGAGGAGCAGCCGGAAGCTGCTGAGACCATCCTCCAGGAATGGTTCCCGGGATAGTTCCCGGAATTGGTGGTGGTGGCATACTGTAGTTTGTCAACGCAGGTGTCTCTGGATTGTATTCTCCAGCAGACACGACAACTCCAGGTGGAGGTGGATTGATCGCGTTGTATCCAGGTGGTGGTAAACTGAAACTTGGTAATGTTTATTTTTCGTGAAAGTAAAAATGAGGTTAGTATTCGGAAAGCGTAAGACATACGAGAAATTAGGAGGAGCAGAAGGGATTGGGACCATAGAACTGAGTGCGTTTTCATCGACAACTACAGGGTCACGACCATGGTAGTACGGACATTGATCCCCACGAATGCAATATCCACGCTCTTCGAAGTCTTTGCAACGGCGTCGACTAGATCTAGCTTTGTATGGAGGTGTCCGTGAGCCACTTGATGATCTGCAATTGTTATTTTGTTACCATACCGTACTTGTGGTTATACACACAGAAATATTACTATCTGTTAACACAATTTCTAAAACAGCATAAACTGAAACGCCTACTCACCTCGATCTTGAACGTGATCGTCGTCGGTGACGTTCGCGATCTCGATCATTAGATGAAGCTCGTCCACTACGTGATGATGGAGCCTGACGACCACGACGATCGCGCGGAGAGCGAGAACGACGTCTTTCCTTGTCGCGAGCTGATTTCTCCTTTTCGCGATTCTCCGATGGTGGTGGACTTATCCGCTTGCGCGCTGGTTTGTTGTCACTTTTCGAAGAAGATGACGAGCTGCTCGGCTTCTGAACTCCAGATGAGGGAGACGACTGGCGAGCAGACTCTGGTTTTGATGCCTCTTCCTTGGGTGGCGATGTTTGCTTGGGAGCAGCCTGGGCAGGTTTCGCACTTTCCGCAGGTAAATAACTCTTGCTGGTCAACGCATCGAACAACTTATCAACAAATGGAGCAGTGTCTGTAATTAATTTAATTTAGAATTGTTATCTTCTGAACCAATGAAACTTACGATCTTGCAAAAAGACATTCAATTGCTCTTTGGTGAATTCTTTCAGCTCTTCTTGACCCTTATCGGGCTTTTTTACCAATGCGAGCACATATTTTGCCAGGGCAATTGGATCGGCATCGGCACTAAAAAGAAAGATGAATATTCCGATAGATATAAAGTTTACTTACATCGGGGTCAACTCATCACAGAGCCACTGGAAGAAAGCATCCTGATTCTCGATGTTCATGCTTTCCTTCGTGTTACACAGGTTTTTACCGCTTCTGAAAAATAAAGTGTGTTTAAATCTAGTAGAAGGAGCAAGAAAAGAAAAACAGAGCGATAAAGTCGAAGATATAATTGAAAAGCTGTTTTCACCTGTAATAAGCTATTTTTCTCAGAATAGCTTATTTTCGGTTTAAAAATTGTATTCAATTTCAATTTAGATCAAGAATGAGGTTATTGAATTCGTCTGTTTTTAACAATTATGTCTATGAATGCGGCGAGTGAAAACAAGATGATCAGGAAACGAGTAAGAACAACGACGAAGAGAAAACTTTAAGGTAGTACGATAATGATCAAAAATTGGCAGCAACGTAGACGACTCGCATTCAACAGGCGGCAACGAGGAAACACTGCGCTGAACGAAAATTGAAAAGCGCGGAGACAAGGAGACACGGGCGGTCGCATAAACTGGTCTTGGACGCGTTGCATTTTTTGTGGATTGGACTTCCAGGTTACCGTATCGAACTGCTTCTATGTTATAACAATGATTTCCTGGTCGAGATGCATCAGTTTTGAAAGATTACAGAAACATAACAAATATACAATTTGCAAAACAGGGTTCTCGGATTGTACGAATGTTGCAGTTTTTGTGGCATCAGAATAAAAATCCTGATGAGTTCAATATGCTTGCTTGAAGAAGAAAACAGAAGCTGGGTATAGATTCAGAGATAGGAGAAAACACAAAAAGCGAGATCGGCACACACGGAAAGGGAGGAGAAAAGAGAAGAACTCACAAAACTCACAGACTCATTCATTTATCCGCCCGCACCATTCATATCGTTCCTATTTACTTTTTCTTTCTCCTCATTTTACAGGTACTCAGAAATACTTTCTTCATTTTTTTTCGTTTCTGCTCTCTTGAGAAAGGTGAGTAGTACATTCGGAAAAAACATCACTTTTTGAAGTTTCAATGATCTAACCACCTATCCTGAGCTACATCTAGAAATTGCTAACTAAGAATCAAACTTCTAGTTTTTTTTTCAATTTCGGGTTTCGATGAATTTTAAATTGAAACCAATTTCGTTCCCCTTCTCTCTTTTTTTTTTGTTTTCTGTGGCAGCTGTTACTGACTTCTGCTCATTCTCGCGAGCAGTGCTTCAGCCGTTGCTCTCTGTGCTCTATTTTTTTCGTATCATTATTTTGCATCGTTAGAATGCCAATTAAGATTCTTAACACTTCAGATGGTGTACGATATTGCTAACTCGCGAATATTTCGAAGACGAAGTTCGACATTCACAGATCCGACGAATGTTTTAGCAGTACAGGAATTGAGATCGAGAATACTACAAGTGAGAAGCACTGATTTTTCTAGAGAAACTTATCAAAATCTCAGGATCCGGTAGCTTCTGCAAAGCACTGTGCCGAAGATATTCATAGAATACGTCACGAGGATTGGTGGCTGGACAGATTTCTAGGATCAGTCAATTATGATGTAGATATAGCCTATGCCATTATTTTAGAATGCTTGAAGTGGAGGAAGAATTTCGATGTAGATAGTGAGTACACGAGATCAGTTAAACAGGCTCATCCTGTAGTATTTAGGAATCAGTCTTCTCTCTTTGAAACCACTACTAGATAATCAACTAATGTATCTTCACGGAAAGGATTTGCAAAACCGACATATATGTGAGGGATAAGTGTAATATGAGGTTTCCATATTCCTTTTCTAGTATGGATCATGATGAGCAAATACAAAAATGGCGATGACGGCTTCGAAAAGCTGTTTACATTTTGGATGGAGCGTCACTATATGGAGTACAAGGGATGTCAGCCTCTGACCATTTTTATAGATATGAGTGGTACTGGACTCAAGAATATGGTAAATAGAAAGCATCTGAAGATGTCTTGGAAAGTTGATTTCAGAGTTTCGACGCAATGAAGTTCATAATCCATTCTTCAAAGTATTACTATCCCAATGCGATTGAATCTATTCTAATATTTGACAATCCAGCAATCCTGAATGCTTCTTGGAAAGTGAGCGTTTTCGTCTTTGAAATATTCAGGAAATACAATAAATTTTTGCGAAATATTATATTCATATCGATTCTCTCTTCCTCTCCTCTATTCTTATAAAAATGTTTCAGGTAATCGGATCCTGGCTCGAGTCTTCAGCTGCGACGAATCAGCGACACGACTTACTCACATTTGTCACCAAGCTCAGTGTCACTCATTACGTACCAAAAAGTCATCTGTTGGAGCATCAAGGAGGCACCGTAAGACATTTTGCTCCTCTTTCTTTTCACATTTCACCCGTCCGTGTACATTCATCACCAGAGTGGTGTTTCCATGAAATCTTCCGTTTTCCATCATCTTGTGTCCTGGCTGGGGGGACTGGGGCCACTTGTGTTTAACACTACTTGCGTTGAACCCCACTGGCGATACGGAAAATGAACTCTCTCTTTTCTTGTTGTAACAATTGGCTCGCTCTCAGACCGCCTTTCTGACCAGCTCCTACTCTTACTTTCATCAAGTTTTTTTTGAAGGATACTTTCAAATTCACGATGGACGAGCTTGCCAAATGCCTTCCGCCGCCACCACCTCCAAAACCTTCACCGAAACTACTACAGCAACGAATGCATTCTATCGATGATACTACGAATAACAATGTTACTGAATTCGATTTCTCATCGTTTCAAAAAAGAGTGAGTTATTAGATTTTCTCATAAATCAAGCTAAAACAATAATGCTGGATGAATAACTTATATATACGTAGGTTACGAATCAGAAAAATTATCAAACTTTAGAATGTCAAATTCGACGAAGAATCAGTAACTAAAAGAGCACCATCTTTGTCTCGACGATCGAGCCGTGGGCCAAAAGGCAGAAAATCACACATCCCACCATCGCTGCGACCACTTATCGAGAACCGAGTTAACGCACCAAGTGACGACTGGTCATCTAATGATTTTGTGTCAATAACGTAAGTTCTGCCAGAAAACTCAAAATAACAGCCACGGATATTCTATGTTTCAGGCCTAGAGATGAGTTGCGACTCGAAAAAGTCGATGGTGAAAACGATCTTCTCGATGTGGTACTTGTCAAGAACCAGTCATCTGAAACACCTATCATGTTCAAATTCAAAACAACTTCGCCGGAAAAATTCCGCGTTCGTCCTAGTTCAGGGATCGTTCAGCCTGGAACCACTGAAATAATCCGAGTTTATTTGCAGTATGGTAAGTCTTAAATGGTAGACAATCATGATTTTCAAATCGCTTTGCTACAGAATATCGTCATTCATGGAGCAAAGAAAAGTTTCTACTTCTAACAATGGAATCTTCCTCAACAGATCTTGACAGCTTTTCGGATCAGTTCAAAAATGCAATAAACAAAGCAGAATTCAAATTCAAATGCAGACTATCAGAAAATGTCAAACTTGATCAGCCAGAAGAAAGAAGGTCCAGCTTCCTACTCCAACAACAGCAACTACAAGAGAATCGAAAAGACAGATTTTCAATTGGAGGAATCAACTTCAATGTTCCATTGATTATTCTTGTACTCTTCCTATTTTTAATATTCCAATTCTTCTACATCATGCAAATGAGATCTGATAACGCCTTATTGAGAGAGACACTTATTACCCTCTCGGGACAAATTAAGGAAGCAAACGTTCAGAACACAGAACCTATTGCTGAGATGGTTAAAAATGAATTGTAGTTGTTATTTACCACAAATAAAGATTGTTGAAATGAATCGTTAAAGAACATTTGAAAAAGTACTAATGAAAATTATTGTCAGAACAAAAGCTAACTTCAAGAAGAACATTTCGCAACGATTTCGAAAACTTTCGAAGAGACAATATAAGAGAGGAGCAGATAAAAATTATAAGTATTTTGAAAATAATAAAATTTTCGAGGACACAACAAATTTAATATTAAATTTGTGAAAAAAATGAAGAAAAAAATCGATGGCCTCCGTAAATCGCCCCAAAGCCGTTGGGTCTCGAAGCGAAGTCGGCGCAGCAAATTGTTGGCTGAGTATCATACGCTTAAACATTGCGTCTCTTGTCTCTCTTTGTCGCTTGCGAATTTTTCCCCAATTTTTTTTGGGTTTTTGACGATTTTTCCTTCAAAATATGTTGGCGCCGGAATAAAGTAACCCTACAAGGAAAATATTGCATCTTTTCCTATAAGTTAGTTATTTAAGCCTTGTTTCAGATATATAAAAAAAAGTGTTTTCTGAAAATGTCCTATTTTTTCCTCCTCACCGTTTTTTCGCAATTTTGTCACCCGTAACTCTGATAAAAGTCTAATTTTTTTTCTCAGGTAAAATGTCGAAGAGAGGACGTGGAGGAGCTTCCGGAGCCAAATTCCGCATTTCCCTTGGTCTCCCAGTCGGAGCTGTCATGAACTGCGCCGACAACACCGGAGCCAAGAACTTGTTCGTCATCTCCGTCTACGGAATCCGTGGACGTCTCAACAGACTTCCAAGTGCCGGAGTTGGAGACATGTTCGTCTGCTCCGTCAAGAAGGGAAAGCCAGAGCTCAGAAAGAAGGGTAAGTTTTTCGTATTCGTGTATAGAAAAAAACAACTTATAAATTAGATTTTTTGATTTGCATAATTTAAGCGAAATTTTTTTTTATAAAACATGGATTCTCAATTTAAATTATATTTTTCAGTTCTCCAAGGAGTCGTCATCAGACAGCGCAAGCAGTTCCGCAGAAAGGACGGTACTTTCATCTACTTCGAGGACAACGCAGGAGTTATCGTCAACAACAAGGGAGAAATGAAGGGATCCGCCATCACAGGACCAGTCGCCAAGGAATGCGCTGATCTCTGGCCAAGAATCGCCGCTAATGCTGGATCTATCGCTTAAGCTGTTATTTTTGTTGTTACAAATGAATATTAACTGTGTTTGCAATGTTTATAGTAAGGAATAATACAAAACAAATGTTTGGGTCGTCAGAATATTTGAATCTCGCGAATTAAATAATTTGGAGAACAATGACTGAGAAATTAGTTTGTTATCTGGAAAAGACTTGGTGTTTTTTTTTAGAGATGGGGAGTTGGAATCGGCGAAATCAGATCAGCGATAACGATGCTCAAGGCGTGAGTAAAATGAAGTCTTGCTGGCCCTGAATGTTCAGAATTTAGGACTATAAAGATCTACTCGTATTCGGCTATGCTTCTACAATCTTCCTAAATGACTATCAATCAGAGCACATCGCTGAAGAACGGCATATGGTTCCATGTCTTGGAGACTCTGAAAATCGCGTGGATAGGTAGGGATTTTTCCATTTAACATAAATGTCTGGCACAACGAGAAAGGAACGTTGATGAAGTGTTGATAGACAGGAAGGAACTCGATTGTCGTCAAAACCTGCTTACAAACAACTTATGAGATTTGGTGAGTTTAGGGGAATATTCTCTGTTAGAAACGATATTTATCATTTTCGTATAAGATTTCAGAATCCCAAGCTGACCATCATGGTTTCATTTGTTTCACACTTCCATAACTGTATTTCAAGCCCTGTCTGATATTCTAGTTTAGACTTTTATCATTTATCTGTCAATATCTGCCCCAACTTCAATTCCTTGTCGTTTCAATACAACATATTTGATTTTTAGGTCAACCGCTGGTCCATCGTCCAAAATGTGAAATAAGCGTGAGTCTATCCTGAAAAATGAAACGAGACATTTACAATAATGCAGTGAAAAGAAGGGAAAAGTCAATGCCATGACCTCTAAATTTTCAGGTATGACTGTAGACTCCTATTGCCGTCTCTGGACATAGCGATCACAAGAAGTTCTATACCACCTGAGCATTGTGAGACTGAAGCTATCGAAGAGGATATGTGTGAAGAAGAGCGTTATCAGGATATGCATATGGATATACAGAGTGAGATATACTATTTTGAATAGTTTTGACGGCCAAATTTATAGGAGAGCAGGAGGAAGAAGAAGAGAGAAGGCGGAAAGAGCAACGGAATGCGATCGGGTTTGATTACGGAACAGGGATTGTGAAAGAGCCAGAAAGTGATAGCGAAGACGAGCCTTTCGAACCACCAGAAGGAATAAAATTTCCCGTCGGGCTCGAACTACCACCAAACATGAAACTGCATCATATTATTGAGAAAACCGCCGCTTTCATTGTCGCTAATGGAACTCAAATGGAGATTGTTATCAAAGCAAAACAACGAAACAATGCTGAGCAATTTGGTTTTCTGGAGTTTGATAATAAGCTGAATCCATTTTACAAATACCTCCAAAAACTGATTCGTGAGAAGAAGTACACACCGGAGCTTGGCAAACGACCAAAAAAGCTAGCAAAAAAGGTTTCATCCACTTCGAAACCAGCTGTTTCGAGTTCCCTAGCCGCCATTGCAGCAGCTCATGGTTCAGGATCAGACTCTGACGATTCGGATTCGGATTGCGAGCTTCATCCGTCTCTGTTGTCAGGCAGCTCGAAAAGACCTGCATCCCCGGAAAATCCATCAGCTATTGGCCCTCGGAAGAAGCCAGTAGAGCCAGAGAAACCACCCCCGATGAATTTAAAACCGGCCGGAGATTTTTCTCAACGCAACGATGTCTATGCAGCTCTTTTCAAGAATTTAGCACATGTCACCAGGCAAGCAGCAGGCATAGAAGAAGTTAAACATGGAATTGAGGATTCGAAAAAGGAAGAAGATGATGATCCGTAAGAATTAGCTCAATTATAACCCATATCATCCAAAAATAGTTTCAGAGATGAACGCTTGGATGATCCTGACTACCGTGAGTGGTATACATCGTTCTACGGGAAAACATGTCCTTGGGTCGGTCCACGTCCAATGATTCCGCCAACTCCCGATCTGGAACCTATTCTGAACAGCTACGCGGAGACAGTAGCTCAGAAAGGTGCAGAGATAGAAACGTCTTTAGCAGCCCGAAAAGATCTTCAACTTCATTTTATGGATCCTCACAGTCCATATTACTCGTATTACCATCATAAAGTTAGTCAAGATATTTTGTACCATCTTAGTATTGGTCTCCTTCAGGTTCGCATGCATCAATGGCGCATGTATCATCCGCAAGAGCAGTCCTCTCATCCTTCTCCAAACATTCTCGGCTCTCCGGTTCCACTAATGTCAACTGATCTTCTGCCACCATCCACCGTCAGCTCTCCTGGACCATCTAGTCTCATGAGCTTGAACATTTCGGCACCACCCGAACCACCATTGAATCGGAGACAACGTAGAAGACTTCTGGAAACTAGTCGTGTTGCTGATGATTCTTTAACAGAACCAGGGGTTTTCGATCCTATTTCTATGGTATGTTTCAAGGCAGTTTGGTTTTTTTACAACAAAGTTTTTTCAGCTCCCAAAAAGCGCTTCCACACCCTCGAACCTCCAGAATTTGGACAATTTTAAACCAGTTTCGTTCTCATTGAATGGTACCAAAGATGAATCAAGTTTTCGATTTGACCCAGATATGGATGATTCTGGAATAACTAGTCCTTCGGAAGGGTTTGAAGGTCTTCCACCACCACCGCCACCTCCAACGTTGTCAGGAAATACGCAAACACAAGTGGACCGAAAGGAACGGGCGAGGATTTTCATGGAGAAGTTGCTGCAAGAGAAAAAAGTGAGAAAGCAACAAGAAGACGAGGAGCGAGCCAAACTGGAAGAGGAAACCAGAAAAAAAGCTGAGAGAATATCTGAATCGTTGTCTGGAAGAAGAACAGTGGAGATCCGTAGTTCTCAAGAGAAAAAATCGCTGGATGAGATTATCAACAGCAAGATTAATAGTGTTCTCTCGGAGTCTGGATTTCATCCGGAAGAAGAGAAAAAGGAAGCTGCAGAAGTGGATAGAGAAAGATATACAACGAAACACGTGAGATTGAGATGAGGAGGAAATTCAATAAATTAAAATTTGCAGCGAAAACGAAGCCGATCCAGACGTCGTTCGAGAAGCAGATCCAGTGATCATAAAAAGTTACGAAGACATCACCACCGCTCCAGATCTCGTTCCCGCGATCGTCACCGTCGGAATCGAAGCAGAAGTCGTGAAAGAAGTTATCGTCGTTAAAAGAGTTTAAATTGTACCATCATCATCATCTCATTCAAATTTATAATATCATCATGTCTTTATGGATAGAATCTCTGATTGAAATATAAATTTACTTACTATTACAGAAAAAAGAAACTAGTGGAAAAAATAAATACATAAAATGGGGGAAAAGGCAAACAACCGCGTATCAAGGTATCAATATGCGAAAATATGGAATTTGAGCTTATTTTGGGTGAGTTTCAAAAAGAAGTAGGTGAATTCGGGGGGTCCGAGGAAGCAACCATTTCTTGCATATCTCGAATTATCGTCCGGGCGACTTCTTCAGCGATCTCCTCCTCTTTTAGCGAATTTTTATCGAGATATTTGCGAAGAGTGGTTCGTATTCTGAAAAACGAAAACAAATTTTAAAACCGAGCTTGAGTTTTCTAGTCGCCTGCAAGATTTCTGATTTCGTTTTCTTGAATTTCGGTGCTTTTTTCAAACTTTTTTGAGATATTTTGATAGAAAAATTAAGTGAAAAGTTTAAAAATCAAACCTCATTGGTTTCTGTGGAGCCTGTGAATGTGTATCATCATAAAGCGCATGATACCTTCCCATTTCATCAATTTCCGCCAGCCGACTACTCCTCGGAGTGCTTCTTTTCGATGGACTCGGCGAGCCAGTAGGCGTTTGTTGCTCATCTTTAACATTCATTTTCTTCTCTAAAACTTCTAAATGTCGTGAGAATGCGTGTGTTAGCGAGTCTGTCGAAGAGGCGACGTCCGATGAACTTGCTTTTCGATTTCTGACTTGTCGAGGCAGCTCCACCGTGAAATCAATCATAGATTGCAGTTCGGAGAGGTAGTTGTGGTAGAAGATAGTTTTCAGAAAATCCGATAGGTATTTCTGAAAATCAAAAGGAACGGTAGACAGGGAGAAGGATGTTCTTGTTCTGTTTACAAAAAGATTTTTCAGTTTGAGAAGGGGACAGATTTTATGAGGAGAGGGCTTCCTTTGCGAACGAACAACGTGACTTGGCTGTGATGGCTTGTGAGATGGGCAGCTTCGAAAAAAGGTTCAAGGAAAACAAAAAATATATAAAAACTGGAAATTTTCAAACTGAGTTTCGATAAAATAACTGATAACTTCGACAATTTTTTCTTCTGGGAGTACCGTAAACAGTCCAATAGCAGACCCTACTTTAAGCTCATGTATCTCAGTTCTTTCAAAAGATAGCAGAATTTTGTCAGCTGATAAAATATTTGTGATATAATGATAAGTGATTTATCAGTTGACACATTTTTAATATCTCTCATAGGAACTGAGATAATTAAACTCAAACTTGACAGTATGAGAGCCCTTCTATTACAGGGTTTTCGGTATACTAAAAGTGGAGAATTTCTATCTGAATTCGAGGGAATAGGACAGCTTTTTTTAGAAAATTGATTTTTTCAGAAACTGAAGCTCCAAGTTGTAGTTGGTCCCTTTATTTTGGGGAATTTCTGTCTGAGAAAGTGGGACAAATCTTAGTGAAGATGTTCAGAAAATGTTTACAATGCAGGTTAAAAAAAACATGATTTTTTTGGTAAAAACCTCTTGAAAATTGATTGAAATTAGAAGAATAATAAACTACAAAACGCTAAATTTAATCCGTATATTTTTAGCAAAGATGTTCAAGAAATACCTATTTCCACTAACAGAATGCCACCCAAACTGTTAACTTTGATCCAATTATCTCGATTCCTGTGAGAGATATCAAAAATATGTCAACAGATAAAGTATTGCTGGTGTCATGATGAATAATTTATCAGTTGTTAAATTTTTATTATCTCGCACAGGAGCCGAGTTATATGAGCTCAAAGTTGCCGGTCTGAGTGGTTACGGTAATTCCCAATTTTTGGTCAATCGTTGGAGTTTAATTTATTCAGTTACTGTCAGTGATATACATTTTTAATTTTTAAAAACAATTTCACCAAGTTTTGAAGTATTACTGTACAAAATTTCATAATGATTGACCCACTTTGGGCTCTTTGACAGGTGCTCAAACATTATCAAGATTGTTCGTTTTCACAGAAAAATACACACCAACTTTGAGCTTAATTATCTCGATTCCTGTGAAAGATATCAAAAAGTTAGTAACTGATAAAATGTTAATCATAAAATTATTAATATTGTATTAGTGAACAACTTTTTGATATATCTCATAGGTGCCGATATAATTGAGCTCAAAGACAAAGGCTGAAATTATGGCAACAACGGTATTCAAAAACTGCAAGAATAAAAAAACAACGGGATGGGAGAAGAACCTAAATATATTTATTTTTTGAAATTAAACCAAAAAGATTGGTTTTCCCGAAATTGAAAAAAAGAGGTTCAAAACTCTTTTAAACGGAAATCTATCAATTCCAAAATGCATTTTCCCTCCGTTTTCTTCAAAAACGCATTAATTTAGTCGAAAAGAAAAACGATTCAATGAATTTTCAATAAGAAAATCAAATTTCAAGATATATCAATCTCCTGAGTTCATTTTTTTTTCAAAATTTTTTTGGGGAAGTAAGAGAAATTTAGGGATCGAGCCTTTGTTTAACTGAAAGCAAAAACTAAAATTTTCAAATACTACACTCAAAAAAAAAAGACCAATAAAGACGATGCTTGGTTCGTGATTCACTTCCCTATTCTCTATTTGAAAACCTGCGATGCTAGTCGAGAAAAAAGAGCTATCTATTTGTTTAACTTATATATATATATATATATATATTGGGGAAGTACTGGTCACAAACCACAGTAGTATCGTAGTGTTTGAAAAACTACAAAGTAAAAGTTTTGAATGGAAAAATGAATTTGAAAACCAAAAATGGGAACTTGGGAGTTTGGAAGAAGAAGGAGCTATAGGAAGCCGAGGGTCCCACAAGGAACACTATCGTAACCTAAAAATAGTTTTATTTTCATGATTTGATTTCTCTATTTTCGCGCGGTTTCAGTCAATCTTTTCACTATCAAAAATAACAGAAAACTCGACAAAAAAACAGTACAAAATAAAAACAGCTTTTTGGGTTACGGTAGATAACTTTGACCTAAATTATTTTGTACCGTAAACACTCTGATGGATCCAATCTTCAATTGTCTCAGTTCCTGTGAAAGATATCAGAAGGTGATCAAGTGATAAAATGTGTATCATAATATCACCAATATTTTAAAAGTTGACATATTTTTAATATCTTTTACAGGAACCGACATTATTGAGTTAAAAATTGACGGTTTGGATAGGCTTCGTGCAAAGGAAATGGGTAGTTTGATGATTTCAGTGAAATTTTAGAGCTTCTCAAAATATGATTCAGATATTTCTGATTAGTCTGAAAACGCTTAAGAAAATGACTTCATTTATAAATTACCAATTTACTTTAAAAAAAACAAAGACACCAAATTAGCCCCTTGGTACCAGAAAAGCATCTAAATTGCAGTTACCCCATTTCTAACTAGAAGCATTGTATCTCATTGAGACAAATTTTCACAAGAAAGTTATCAACTACAAAAATGAAGAACTATTTTTGCTCATTTCATAAAAAAAATTCCAGACAAATCGGAATTTCATAAGGTTTCAAATGTATGGTTGCCGTATCTCCTCTAATCTTATACGTGCGTTTTGAGCTAAATTATCTCGATTCCTTCAAAAGATATGAAAAAAATTTCAACTGATAAATTGTTTATCATGATGCCACTAATTTTTTGTCAATTGAAAAAATTTTGATATCTTTCATGGCAGCCGAGATAATTGAGCTCAAAGTGCACATCAAGAATTAGTATCTTTCTTCGAACCCCCACTTTTTCAAAAATTCTGATTTCCAGGCAGTGGTTCCGATCACGATCTTTCATGGCAGCCGAGATAATTGAGCTCAAAGTGCAAGTGACCTATTGCTATATATATATTTCCAGTTTTCATTAAAGTTCAATTAATTTTCTTGAATCAATCTTACAATAAAAATGTTTCAACTCACATCATGCAATCTAAAAAAGCAGGCAGTCTTTGCAGTTCGAAATGCTTTCCTATTCGGTCTTCCCGATTCTTCACAAATCAAAGATTCGATTTCCGCTCGAATTGCTCCGCCTAAATCGATCATATTGGTTGCCTGCATCGAAAAATACTTTTCATAAAGAGCCATCGCATCTCCAAGTGCTTCAGAATCCTCCATCAAATCCAAATTCGCTTCAAAACTCTCGCAACCGAGTAGAAATTGAACCATATCGTGATCCTCTTTCTCTTTAATAAATTCCAAAAACGAGAGAAGAAGTGGTTGAACTTTGAGGATATCTCCTAGACTACATCCATCCGATAACACTTCTAATTCGTGTTTTTTGTAGTATACACTGTTTTGGAATTCGTCAAAATATCGATATTCAAAAAGCGACTTTACAAAGGATTGGGCTTCATTGAAACAGGATTTCTGGAGTGGAACCATTGCGAGATTATCTGAAATTTGGATTTTTAAAGTTTAGGTTTTTTTTTTAAATTAAATTCAAACCATCTACAATCTGCTTGATTTTTCTGGGGAGGGCCAAAGAGCTTGTCGATCCATCATCCACATATTTGTCATATATACTTTTGGCATCTCGGAGGGACACTGAATATTAGATTTTGAAATTTTTTTTAAAAACTCAAACACTGACACTCCTGAGCTGCCTGAATTTCCTCTGAAAAGCTCGACTTGAATCCTTCGACGTGCATCCAAAACTTGATTAAATTCAGTTTGTCGGTAGAGTCGAGGTACTGTATGAAGTAGGAAAGAGCTGAGGAATCGGTGAGCAATCGATCCAGAGAAGATGCCAATTGGGGTTTTTGTTTCACTTGAATTCCTTCGTGATCGGAGCCACTGCCTGGAAATCAGAATTTTCGGAAAAAATTGGTTTAAAAAAATTTTAAGTTTGATTACCCAAATTATTATCCTAATATAAAAAATCAGAGCTATGGAAGACCAAACCGTCAACTTTGAGCTCATATATCACATTTTCTGTAAATTATAACAAAAAGTAGTCAACGCTGATACTATGATAAACAATTAATAAATTGACGACTTTTTCTATCTTTAACAGAAACCGAGATAATTGGGCTTAAACTTGATCAAGGGGGGGGGGGCTCTTCTATTACAGGTTTTTACTTTATTTTTCTGGTGCAAAAATCGGGGTTGTGAAAGATAAATAAAATTCTAAAACTCTAAGAAAATATTGAAAAAATTTTTAATTGGCTGATTCTGATCAAAATTGATATGACGAACTAAAAAGGCTAAAAGGGGAATATGAGAGAATTTTTCTCAAAAAATCCAAAATTGAAAAAAAAAAGTTTTTTCGAGTTTTTTGCAATATTTTAATATCATATGATTTTTTAGAAAATTTCAAATCTAGGTGCGTTTTCAATCAATTTTTTCGCTATCAAAAATTATGATTTTTCTAACTTTTTTTGTGAAAAAATACAGAAAAACCGAGAAAAACCAGTAAAAACTCGAAAATAAATCCATAAAATAAAAATTTTAAGTTACTGTAGCTGTCGTTATAAGACCACAGCTCTGTTTTTTTTTGTATCAGAATAATATAAGTTTTTGAAAATTGTATTATTTTTTAAACTTTGCTAAAATTTTGCTAAACAAATTTCAGAACCCATAAAAACCATACAGCCTGAGAACCTGCTGATCAATGATTAAAATTTTGCAAAGGCAATTTTAAAAAACCGTATCCATTAACTTACCAATATCAGCAGATGGCTCTGGAACTGATAATGAAGCTTTCCTTGTAGTGGGAATACAAATATTATCGTTACTCAATGAATCTCGATGAGCGTCTCCATTCTGATAATTAACATCTGAAGACGTGGATGGCTGACCTGGATATTCAGAATTCTTATTGATCTCTCGTTTTGTCTCTCAATTGAGAGTTGATTCATCAACTAACCATTTGGCTCTTTGTCTTTTTTCCTACGAAGCCTGCCAAGAAAATTACTCATATCTCTATTCTCTCATTCTAGAAGAGCTTAGAAGAAATTTCAGTGAAATATGTGGTGTGGATATATTGACCAGCCAGGGTTATCAACTTCTGCGCACCCCTCATTGTGTCTAACCGTCTGCGTCTCTGCTTTCTTCTTCGTCCAACACGACAAACGCGCCAACGAGTACTCGAAGAAAGCGAGATTGCCTTATTTATGTCGTGTTTAAGCTCTTTTTAGTTGTTCGCTTCGTGGTAAACTATGTCTCAATTACTGTAGTTTTCTCAGGCAATCCGATTTCAAACTCCCGCTATTTTTGGAGATTACGGTTTTCGTTACGGGAATCAACCAATATTTTTTCCTTGTGTTCCTTTAACTACTGTAATTTTCTGAATTTTTTGTGAAATTTTTTGAGAATTCTCTCTCTCTCTCTCTCTCCCTTTTTTGTTTCTTTTTATTGTCAAATAAAGGAAAATGAGATTGCTCTATATATGTCAAGTTTAAATCCCGTTTAGTTGTTAGTTTAATCACAACCCAATAACGTTGATCTCAATCCAGGGCTGGGAATAAAATTTGAATTGCGTTTGGATTGAGACTCAATCCAAACGCAATCCAAATTTGAACTCCCGCTATTTTTTCTGAATATGGTTTTCGTGACGGAAGCCTACAAACATGTTTTACTTGTGATCCTTTAACTATTGTATTTCTTTGATTTTCGTTCAAGTTTCTCTTTTTTTTCACGTTTTTGCAATAGATTTGTGCACCTAATTCGCTAAAATCGATGAATTTTTCAGAAAATGGAATCAGTAGCAAGTGAATCAGCTCCGAAGCCAAAGAAAATCACCGTCAAACTGAAGAACATCGGAGATGCGCCAGTTCTCAAGAACAAAAAGCTCGTGGTGAAAGCATCCGACACATTGGCATCACTAACGAAAGTGAGCTAAGTTAATTGCTGGTAATTTCTGACTAGAATTGGATTTTTCAGGTTCTTCGAAAAATGCTGAATCTCACCTTACACGACTCGCTCTTCCTATACATCGACACAACTTTTGCACCTTCTCTAGACTCAAATTTCGAAGTAAGTTACATTTTAGACGACTTTCTGAAATGATTACTTTTCTTTCAGGTGTTAGCACGATGTTACGCAGTGAAGACCACTGGAGACGAGGTTGTAGAACTGCAGTACAGCACAACGCCGGCGTACGGATAATACATTGTGATATTTGAATGATTTTAATTTTGTATAATGTATATAAATATTTTATCAATTTGTGATATTTCTGATTGGCTTTAAATGACTAACGAATTCTAGAGAGATGGAACACTCCAGAACAATCCTGCAACTTCATCCAATAAAATGATTAAATTTTCAATTGTTTTGCTTTCCTTGCACATTTGGTTTCAAAACCTCTTTATTTAGACAATATTTTAAAATTCTTATATAAAAAAAATATATGATTCTTCCAGTAAAATCCCACATAGCAAAAACATGAGTAAAGTGAGTACCTCCCTTCAAAAATATGAAATTAAAAAAAATCTTTATTTTCAGAGAATCGACCACGATGAAGAAGACCGTGATTCTTCGGAATATGAGCAGATGGAAGACGAAGAAGAAGACGTTGAGCGTTTTCCCCAACAACAAGCTTTGTACGCCAAAGAAGACGATCATTTTCAACCGCAGTACATCACGGAACAAGTGCCGACAACCAGCAATCAAATGGAATTGCCCTTGCAAATCGACTATGAAGGTTTTAAATCTATTTTCTAGAATTTTCGTATTACTCTTGTCCGAAATCAATGCACGTTGCGGCCGAGAAAACAACGGTGGGCGGAGCTTATCTCCCACAGAGAGAACCTTACTGTATTTTTCAAATTATTGCACGCGCCTTTAATACAGTACCTCAACATTTATCGAATTTTTGCCTTTTTCTCTCATTTTTTCGCTTGTTTCTGTCTAATTTTGTCTAATTCTCATAAATCTTCAATTCATTTTTCTTATAAAAAGAAAAAAACATCCAAATAGGGCCCAAAATAAAAAACGTCCGAGGTACGGTATTTAAAGGCGCATGCATCAATTAGTTTTTTCGCTGTGAGACCGACGATGCGATTTTGAGTGATTTACGGCCGCAACGTGCATTGATTTCGGACGAGAGTAAAATACTTCATTAGCTTTTAGAAGTCTACCCACATAGTACGGTACCAGTCGACAATTCCTACAATATCCTGGAAGATGGCAAGGTTTATTATGAGAACGAAATGGAAGGTTGTAAAAATTTGGTTTCAAAGCACTATAAATCTTCTTACAGACCTGGTTTACCATGAAATTTATGGAGAAGGAAGCGATCAGAAAATTGAAATGGATAAAAGTAAGCAATTTTCGTTTTCAGGGTAATTCTACCCATTTCAAAGCAAATACTCACTTGCTATAAGCTCATTTGCTATTTTCCCATTTGCTT